AAATGCAAAAACACAGTTTTAGATTTTTTTCCTCAAGTATTTTTCAAAAATTAAACATTCTGAAAAAAAAAAAAAAAAAAAAAAAAAAAATCTGTAAAGTGTGGCATAAATTTGTATTCAGCCTCTTTATTCAATACTTTGTATAACCACCTTTTTCAGCAATTATAATTACAGTTTTTGGGTAATCTACCAACTTTGCACATCTAGATTCTGAAATCTTGGCCATTTTTGTTTGGAAAAAGCTTCAGCTCAGTCACACTGGACAAACATGATCTGGGAAAATCGCTATTTAAGTCTTGCCCAAGATTCTCCACTGGATTCACATTTGGGCTTTGAATGAGGCATTCTAACACACATATGCACACTAAACCATTTCCATGTTGAAAGATAAATGAATGAATAAAAATGTGAATCAGAAATAACTGGAGGATATTGACTGTAACATGCCTGCTTACCCGTTTAATGTACTGCACCACCTCGTTGACAAAAGATCTGTTGATCTCTAACTTCTCTCTGTAGGGGACAAAAGATTTATTAACACATTTAGTCTACAGCGACACCTAGTGGTCAATAAATGATTACATCCCGTTTTAAAAAAACGTCGAAAAACGTACTCTTCTGTTAAATTCTTGTCTTTGGCTTTCGCCTCGTTGATCTTCTCTTGCCTTTTCTTGTCCATTTTCTTTTTCAGATCCTTCTTCTCTCTGTCGGTGTTGGAATACAGTCGAGAGACGTAAAAAAGCGAAAGGGGTTGCTCTGTATTTGCTTAAGCACGAGTGATAAACCCCAATCTTACTTTTCACAGATGTCTTTGATCTTTTTAAGCTGAGCGCTCTGGCACTCCTCTGCTATAGTCGTCAGCTTCTCGACCAGCTGGGGACAAACAAACACATCCATTCTGCGACACTAAGAAAGCGCCAAAACATCAGATTTGATTCTTTCAGATGAAGCTGCACATGTTGCGTTTCTGATTATAATCAAGCAGCAGAACAAGTAAACAACTGCTGTTAGACTTGTTGCTCATCCTCTTCACTTGGCATAACCGTTCCTGTCAAACACCTCAGCTGTGTTCACCGCACAGATGCACCGGACCTGAACACATTCGGTTTTCCACATCATCCAACAGAACACGAGCAGAAGCAGCAAAGTGATGTCTGTCAAACCCTTCAGGGGGATGACCTGGAGCTGATTGCAGCGTTCGTTTATTCACTTGTCTGTGCTTGCTTTTTCCAAAGCTTCGGGACAGCAGGAGGCTGTCAGCACATCGTCCGTCGACGGCAAGTCAGGACAGGATGCGGTCTGAGTGTGGCGCATCTGTTTATGCCAAAGAAAGTAGCAGCATGTTCGTGTTCACACTCTGCATGTCATTGTTATGTGGGAGCAACGACTTAAAAACGCTGCTATTATCCACCTTAAGAGACATGAGAACATATTGGTATGTGTTTTATATATGGTTTTGTTTTAATCTACAACAGCCTGATGAGAAAAGCCACCAAGCTGATCATTTTACACAAGTTTAGATGCTTCTTACAATGTCTATGGTTGAAGAGCGGCCTAACAAGATGGAGTTGTAGCCCAGGTCTTTATGTGGAACTACAGCTGAAATCTCCTTAAAACTCATGAAGAACTTTAGCTTTGTAACATTAAGGCTTCTTGTATCCGTGATGCTTGTGTAACTTTTTCTACGTTATATTGTTTTTTATCACTCATCTTTCCATTACTATTCTTTCTTACGGGACTAGAATGATCTTTTGAGGCTTATCTTTCTCATACAGGGTGTTAATGACTTTGCTGTAACAAAGCAGTCTTTGTTATGAAAACTCCAACAATTCTGGGTTTGATTAGACATAATCATTAAACACAAAAGGAATAAATACTTAGAAAATATTACTCTGTGTTTAATCTATCATGTTCGCCTTTTGAACTGAATTACTGGAATAAAGTACTCTTACATAATATTCAGATTTGCTGAGATGTACTTGTATGTGTGTGTGTGTGTGTGTGTGTGTGTGTGTGTGTGTGTGTTCTGCGGGGTGCGTACCTGTTTTATGTGTTCTCGTTTCAGGTATTTCTCGCTGTAGTATTGCTCTTGGCGGAGTTTAAGCAGCTGCTGCTGTTGCTGCTCCTTCAGCTCTGCCAGTTTCTGGCCGCACTCCTGGTCCAGCTCACACAGTTCTTGGTCCAGAGTCGACAGGGAGTTTTCAGACCGACTTTGGGACAAACATAAAACAGAGTGAGACACATAAACAGACTCTAATTAGAGCCCCTGCAAAAATCCTTCAAGGGGGGATTTTATTGGTAAAACTAGAGAGAGCAACTGAATGTATGCAAACATACAAAATCAAATTATTGATTTTGATTACAGTATTAGCAATATTAACAACAAAAAAGCCCAAATAGCTGCATTAGAAAAAGTCAAGAAAAATTGTATATTTCTTCTGGAAGTGCCTTAAAAAAACATTTATGAGAATAAACTGATTCAAACATTTATAAAACTGAAAAAAGTTCAAGGAAATAATATTTCGACATTATTTTTAATACACGCATTAAATACATGCATTAAAAATAATACAGTTTACCAGTTGTTTACTAAATGCATCACCTCTTTTTTATGCTGAGATCTTACAAATTATTGAATTGGGTAACAATTCAGAAAATAATTTCTTTAAATTAAAAACGTCCATCATTATGAACTTGAAGTCAAAGGTTAGAATGGGTCAGAAATTCAGCTATTGGACATTTAAATCAACTTGATCGTAACTTAATCAAGTTTACATGAATTCAGACAACAAAGCAACTAGGAAGTAAAGCAGAAGGAGCGCGTCACCTACCTTTTCTTACCGTCACGTTTGTGGCTCTTCTGCAGGGTGGAGCGTCGCCTCTGATGCTGGCTCTGCAGCTCAGAGACGCGGGCCGTTTGCTCCTTGATCAGCTCGCTTGTTTTGCGGTGGTGTTTTTTGACCAGCTCCTTCATCTCCTTGTACTGCTTCCGCTGCTCCCGGACAAACCCCTTCTGCTGCTTCAACTCCTCCACTGTCTGAGCCTCCAGCTCTGGAACACCGCCAGAACGGTGACGGTGAAAATAAAAGTAGAGATTATAATTTGTACGTTCGTGATGACGTTTTCGGAAGAGTCAAGGAAGGCTTACTTACACAAAAATAACAGGAATAGCATTGATTACAGATTTAAGCTGAGAAGTTACTCGTGAGCAGCGTAGATCGTTTTGTACCCTACCAGTGAGGACGCTCTGTATGATGTCTTCTGTCTTCACTGATGGTTTCAGTGAACCTGTTCCTCCAAGCACATTAAGTAAGTGGCAGAAGATCTGGACCTTCGATTATTTGCAAATGGCTGAGGAAGTCTCGTACCTGCAGACTGAGGCTGATGCCCAACAAGTGAAGGAGGTTTGGGGGCGATAATGGGAGTGTGACTCACTCCGTTCTCCGCAGGTACTACTGGCCTCTGGTCCACTGTAGATTCCGAGGGCGCATCACTTCCTGCCTCCACCTGTTCATCAAATTAAGCACAAACATGCAGATCCGCTTCATTTCAAAAGAGTCAACTGGTTTCAACAGAAAACTACGCACGGATAGCAGTGAACCTAAAAACAGCTTTAGAAATGTTTTATTTGTTTTTGGTGGGGTTTTGGGGCTAAAGTGAAATATTTATCTCCCTTTTTCTTTCTATCTTCAGAGTTCACTTGTTTACCAGTGCTGCATGGGCCAGTCTGTAAACATAGCGTTGGTAGCCCACTCTTAGCATTGCAGATGGTATCGAGTGCCAGCTGGTCTTACTTTCTTTCCTCACACTGAGAACGCTCGTACCACTTAAACTTTGATGCAAATCACTCAAGCCCGATCTTTGCTCTCTTTCTGTTCTCTCGCCACATTTATGCCCTCCCTTTCCACGCTCTAGATCATAAGGTCCCTGTTGCTATGGTCACAGCATGAAACAAGAAATCCTCTCGGGTAATCATATCAGCTGGCAAAGCAGATGAAAGAGGACCCTTAGGGACAGGCGTCCGTTGCGGTTCCCTTTGCTAATAACCTGGGTCCTGCCTCATCTCGCATGATAAATGTGTCTCCATTTTAATATTTTAAATTCTCACGTTTCTCTCAGAGATAATCCCCCTTTTTCTGTCTTTTCCCCATTGTTCTGCTTCTGCAGCTTTAAAATTTCAGAGCTTGAGCTTTAAACTACAAAGGCAGATGTTACAAAGCTGCACATATTTCTACAGTCCTGAGATACATGGTGAAACAAAGAAGCAAATCTAGTTGAATAAGTCACTTGCTATGTGCGAGCTATGCTAACACAGAATTTGCACATGAGCAGCAGCCTCAACAATCCCTGGCTGCTTATCCCCATTATGTCAGTTCAAACAAACTACATCTACACACCGATTGCCACTTGTTTCTACCTGCACGTTATGCTAAGCGCCTGATTTAATAGTTACCACTTTTAGTTTAGTTCTAGAATACAGAGACACGTCTTCGGTTCAGCTGGACAAATGAACACATTTTGTCAAATGTGCACATCTAAAGTGTTTTGAAACTACTCATCACATGAGGTTATTTGACACAAACAATCAAGGGATCCACTAATAACACCAGAATTCATTATACGTACAACTTAAATTACACTTAAATTCAGGTTTAAAGTTTTAAACTAGATGATCTTGTAAGATTTTATATAAAAATCACAACAACGCTGCTGCACAGCTGGGTAAAGTTCAATTTATCATGGATGGCCTGGAATTAAAGTGGGGCAGACAGCCGGCTGATAGTATCCGTAGGTATTTGTGGCAGGAATAAGATTAAGATTAATTAATCTATTCTTTCATTACATTGTTTAGAACAGCTTAAACTCTCCTGGTGATAATAAAACACTTCCTACATCATTTCGATCTAAACTGCATCTTAACAGTGCTTATTTGAAGAGGAAATCCGTTCTCTCTATAGCAAATTTCCAAAACTGTGCTATTTGCAGAGGGAGAGATAAATATTACTTTGTAGCAGACTCGAGTTCCCAACAAGATCAAAGTACTCCTCAAAGACTGTGAGAATAAAACCTCTGTGGGAATCTTGATCAGGATGGCAAGGATGTGAATGACAATATTTAAGTCAGTCTTAAATATAAAAGAATAGAGATTGTGTTTGAGGGTTTTTATCTGACCCTCAATTAAAATCATACAGAAAAGAATTTAGAAAATTTACTTTAACGTGTGACCAGTGACCAGCTTCACTCTGAGCTGTTTGCTATGCATATACAAAATTTCAAAAGAAGTTTAGAAAGCTAAAGCGTCACCTAAATGTTTCCTGTGCATCCTAAATTTATTATGAGGACGGTGGATTAGAGCGTTAACAGCGTCACCTGGAAGAAAACATTTGAAGTACCTCTATATATTTTATCAAGCTAAAATTTAGCATATAAAGGTTGGATGTCATGTGAACTGTCTAACAAGTGAAAAACACAACTTTATATCTCCTTTCTTGCTTATCTCAAATTGTTATCAAAATAGTCAATTGCATAAAAACCTACATAAATCCCAAAATATCAATTAGACATTTATGTAAAATGAGTTATACTTGAGGTAAAGCGTTTTTTTTTTTTTTTTTTTAATATTCACGTACCTCTTTGTCACCCTCCTCTTCTCCTCCTTCCTCTAAGGTGAGAGCAGCCAGCTGATTGGCTCTCTGCTCCATCAGGTTGACATAGCGGATGGGATTGGACAAGGCTTCAATGACGTCTAAGGGGCGGGGAGAAAAAAAAAAAAAAAACATTTGGTACTCCCAGATGACAAAACAGGATTTCTATTTCCTTTCTCTCCCAATGACTTACCTGCAAACGTGTCTGGGACGTAGTCCTTCACTTCAACGTAAACAAAGAGGGCGGGCAGCATCAGCGACTGGTTCTTCTCGTTCCTTAGACTGATATATCGATAACCTGAAACACAAATGAGAGATGTTACATTTCTGCAAAGGAAGAAAATGATGTGCTTTAATGTCTTGTGCATTCACATTTTAAAATGTAATATTCTTACGCATGTTAATATGTAATGTTTACTTTTTAAAGAAAAACAAAAAAAACATAGCAGCATTTAATATGGTTTGAAATTACATTGAGAAGAAATGAGTTTTGTCACCTGGACGGATGGCTGAAACAGGCATGATGCGGTGGCCAATAAACTTTCCTCCTTCTTCAAACACTGCTATCCTCAGTGAAGCCAGTGTAGGAAGGACGACCTAAACATAACAGCATATACAGCGTCAGATGACATCATAGGAATAATAAAAGGTGATTTTTTTAAATTTTTTTATAATGTTCTAGTCCAGTTTATATTAAGATCCAGCTCATAATCTGGTTTTTAACTGTTTACTTTGATGCATTTGCCAGTATTTCCAAGCAGAAAGCACTGTACTGTGCTAAATTAAATGATTTCCCCAAACAAAAAATATGCTATTCTGGGATATTTTAAATGACCCTCTAAAAGTACACATTATAGGAGTGAAAAAAAAAAGATAAAAGATAAAACTGAGTTGTAAAGGTGATGATGAAGAGCTTTATGAAAGAAGTCTTACCAAATACGTGTATGGTACTTAGAACATTTCAGTAAATAAATACATAAATAAAAATAATAATAATAAAAAAGAGTATTATTAAGCATTATTAAGCACAATCTATTATTTAGCATTGCATATTAATAAGACCCAATTCAGTTCCATACACTCATCGTATTTTACATCAAGGTATCTATAATTTTATCCTTGAGTAAATTTGTACTTTGTGATTTTGTACATGTCAGGAAAATCAACTTTATTAAATTTCTTACACATAAAGTTAAATTTTAACACAAAGTTCACCTTTTTGAAAACAATGGCCTCTTCTTCCCAGAGAGGGTTGATGGCATTGCCCTGAGATGTCTTGGTCTTGAACGCTTTCCTCTTGGTGTCCACTGGCAGGCCAAACATGTCGATCTCCACGTATGTGCCTACTTTCTTATCGGTCAGGAACTGACCTGAGACGATCTGCAATAAATAAATGAAAATGAAGTCACTGCGTGACTGAGCGAAGGACATTCTGGTTTTCATTGAACCCTGACCCGATTTCGAGTGACACACGCTTTGACAAATAAAACGCCCTCTGCCACATGCTATTCTAGCAGGTAAGCATACACAGACAAACCTACAGAGGCTGAATGGGATCAATATGAACATACACACACCTTGACAGACAGCGTGTTGGCGACTATCCCGTCTACTGTGCTCTCAGTAAAAGGATCGAAGTGTTTATCCGGCCGTCTCATGAACTCTGGTTTCAGTCTGTAGCCACATTTCCCATTGTACTCGTACATGCCCAGGTTCAGCTGCATCGATAAGTCTGAGGACGACAGACAGGATTTATTTATTTTTTTCTGCACGCTGTAGACGAATAAAGCTTTTAGCCAATTAGATTTATTAAAAAAGATGTTGCCGTCTTCCCCCACCGATAGTTTGGAAGTTGAGAGCCACCAGCTGACAGCCGGCGTTCCAGAAGAGCTGCGGATTGTAGTTGGATGAATCTACTCGAGTACCTTTAGGGTAGATCCTGCTCAGCTGCAGCTTGTTGTATCTGAGCACAGTCGGTTAAGTAAAGAACAGCTGCATGTAAGTGCACAGCTTAGTCATCAAACTACAAAGCACTCCACTTTGAATTGTAGGAATAAGTTAAAATAATAATAAATGAGGAGGAATCCCATCAAAGTCCTCAGCTTCACCTCAAAACAACAACTAGACCTTTAAAACCTAGATCCCAAAACCTCATCCGAATGCCAAGTCTCTGTGATGGCTTCAATGTAAACTGCGTAAAAAGATTTTGGACTGTGAGACACAAATTTAACCACACACTTGTTCATATCTGGAAACGGCACGTGGTCAAAGAGACATATGTTCACATAACAGTGAGGTATGTAGATATTTGAGCCTATATGTGTCATTTTGATCTTCTTTAAAGTGAATCCAAAATCAGACTTCTGCACCCAGTTTGTATTTAAAAATAATTAAAGTTGTATTTTGCATCATCGGCGCTCTCCAAAAAGAACTGCTAAAGTGAATAATTCAAAAGCTAAATGATTATGACTATCGCGTCACAGATGTACACATGACCTAAACTGTTGTTGTTGCTGCTGGTGATGTCACTGTTGCTGTTATGGAGTGAAATCGCAAAACAGAATAAAAGGGAGATGAAAAAGCACAGAAGCAGAGCGAAGCTGGCCTCTATCTGCTTCAAGTCATTACCATCAGAGCGGAAACCAGACGAGCAAAACTACAAATGTTTTCCAGACGGTAAAAAGCAGAACGCTGTGCTTAAAGAAGGATACTCCACAAACTCGACTGGAGACTTTGTCAGTTGCTCCAAAGCTTTGGTCTCTACGAAGGAGGACATGTGGAAGCTCCGGTTGATCTCTGCAGGTCAACGTAGGGACATTAAATAAAGCAGCAGCTGTTTTTAAACGCAATTAACTTCTTATTGTGAGAATAGGCATTTAAACTGCATTATTTCCACACTTCTTACAAGAAACATTCATTTTTATGTAATTATCTTCTACTAAAGCAAAACATATCACTGTTTACAGTTATATAACACAGAATACACAAAAAGTTAACATGGGTGGTTTTTCTCAGTATGCCTAAATGAAGGCATACTGAGAAAATAGTTCCCATTTACTATTACACTTGTGAAATGTTGATGGATCTTGCTTACTTTTGGACATCTCGAAGCAGTAAAACTTGACAGGCTGGATGTAGATGACCAGGTTGGACATTTCCTCTGTGGCGAACGCCTCACTGCCTGCTGTGCCCTGTGCATGAACAGACACGACATCTTTAAGCTGTTCTCACACTCTTTCGTGTTTGCTAAGTATAACAGAATATTGAAAATGTTGTTTTTAGTGAATTATTCGCAAAGTTGGTCTGGCTGCCACATCAGCATGCTGAGGTGACAAGATCCTCATCGCTGCAGACAGAGCAGCTGCATAGTGTAGCGTTAGATTAAGTTGTGTTCTGATAAAAAGTATTTATAATCCAACTTTGCGGCAAAATTTTGGAAGTACTGTGTGTTAATTCTGAAGCAGTGGCGCTTATGTGTAGATATGGCATACTCTGGCTTAATGTTGGAGTGGTAGGAGGGCAACTCTTGAGTGCTGGAGAAGCATCCAGCTAAGGGAGTGTATGGTCACCATGGAAACACAAGGTATAAAGTAGTGTGACGAAGGTCAGGAAAAAATAGAAAAAAGCAAATCTGCTCTAAGCAACAGGGGACCAGGTGTTCACTTCAATTCAAATAGGTAAACAAAATAACACTCTTTATCAATGGGAGTTTAGCTTACATTGACTCAGTTTGCTGTCATTTTAAAGGATTGAAATCCAGCTAAACAGCATTTCTATCTAGGTAAACAGACAGTTTTAAAAGTACAGCTACACTGGTGTTCACCTGTACAACAGATTGAACTGGAAATAAAACAACCCCCCCCCCCAAATCGGCTTTATGGAGATATGGATGGTGAAACGGCAAAGGCAGTGGTTCAAAGAAAGTGCAGAATCCAATGAAAAGAAGGGTGGCTTTGAGTTAGGGACCCCTCTGAAGCCCCCAAAGCTGTTAGCAGAAAATTGCTCAGATACTTCTTCAAGTCCAGTGGGGTAAAGACCAATAGAGAAGGTCACTGTTGCACACTGCCATAACCTTCAACAAAGCCTCTGCGACAGAAGAGGAGACCCTGATGCTGAAATGCATCGCCTCCCTGCTTTGGACACCATCTTTTATTTGCTTTTCCTTTTGGTTAACAATAACCTGCACAAATCTTTTTCCACTTTGGAATTATTGAAGTATTTTTCAATCTCAGTTTGAAGTGTCTTTTAAATACAACAATGACTGATTAAACCTATTCAAACAATTATAAATCATTAGCACTATTTAAAAACTGATACAATGGCTTGTAGAAAGATTTACACTCCTTGAAACTTTTCATGTTCAGTCACATCCCGACCATACATATTTACATCCTGGTAAATATTCTTGACATTTTGTAGCTGAATGTAAATTAGAGCAAACATTTTTAGAAATTAAAATCTGAAAAGTTTGGCAATGCTATGCATCTAGCCGATAACCTCAATAAAATTCAGTACAAATAAAATAGTAAGTAACTAAATAGAAGCTACATGTGTATAATTAAGTCTCTATGACAATGCAGGAACAGTATCATGAAGTTTTTATTTAAGATAGAGTTAGATTATAAAACATCTACATGCAAAACAAAGTGTGTTGCAGAAAATCAACACTGCACACAGTTTCATCCAGATACTTGAAAAAAAATAAATTCATTACTTTCATCTCAATGAAAGTAGCTTGAGCTTGAGCTGTTTAGCAAAGAAGAATGAGCAGAAGTGTTCCTCCATCAAAGTGCAAAGATGTAGAAACGTCACCTCGAAGAGCCGGTTGTGATTCAGTTGGAGATGAACGCAAAAAGTCAGAACAATTTTAAGATTTTTATTTGTGACGTCCCCCCATACACACCTCATCCATGGAGCCCTTTTTACAGTCATCATCGTCGTCATCCTCATCGTCGCTTTCGGCCTCCACCTCACCTAAAACACGAGTTACCGTTAAATTAAAATGAATTGCTTAAGTTTGTTTGACATTTCCACAAAGACGAGGCAAATGCCTCACTGACCTTTTTAAGTATTGATCATGTTTTCATAGCTTTATTTAGTAAGAAGTTCTATCCATTAACCTTAAAATAACAAGGCGAGTCTTCCACCAAGAAGCTGTAACTGATGGAGCTCAGTGACAGATATTTATTTTAATATTAAGCTGAAACTCACCCAGCCTCTCTGCATGCACAATGAGAGACCGACTCGGTATCTTCATCCATATCTTAGCTCACACTGACACAGGAAATTATGTGCAAGACAATGATCAAAGTGACCTACAGCTCCTGCCTAATGAGGACCACACAAATGATTTTAAGCTTAGGTCATCACTCACCAATAGACTTCCTGCCATGTGGTCTCAGGTTGAGCTCAGCGCCGTCAGAGGGTTGTGACGAATCGGCCATCTCTTCTTTAGTTGAACCTTTGGAGAAAAAAAAACAAACAAACAAAAAAAAAAAACAATTTTCATTTTTGTTGCTGTTTTTTCAAACTCCATTTACTATTTCCACTTTATTTTTGATTCACTTGCTAAAATAGATAAAAACTGAGTTCTATTATTCTTTCAATGCCACTACACAGATAAAAATATTTGTAGTCTTTACAGATTCACCTAATTATTGCTTCTGAATGTACTGGTTAAAATGATTTGGGATTAGGCGCTGAGGTGCCACAGGAGTAAAGCACAACCCATGTGTGGAAAGTCCTCAATGTGGCCATCACAGGTTCGAGTCCTGGATGACCCTTGATGACCTTTGTCGCATATCTTACCCCTCCCTCATTATCCACTTTCCTGTCTGACCACTCTCAAATAAAGACTCAATATTAAAAAAAAAAAAAAAAAAAAAAAAAAAAAAAAAAAGATTTGGTGCTGTCATACTCATGTTCTATCACTAGGGGGCAGTGTGTGTGCAAGAAATACAGCATGAATTCTAGGAATAAGAGGTGGACTTTACAACAAGGCACACGCACACAAATAAACACACACACACATTTGAAAGACCAAATAAAATGTGCGGCACACTACAGCCTGGCTGTTAACAGATCTGAGAAAACTCAAGCCAGGGAGCAGCTGTGATACAGTTACAACATAATGCACACAGAGCTGCACGCACACACACACGCACACACACACACCGACAAGTTGACGGCTGCCACTGGCTAGTATTTAAGGAGCCCCAGAAGGTGTGTGCAGCAGCCAATAATATTCTGGACTGATGGAAAGAGCCATAAAAATGATAAAATGCAGAACAACAGTAGGGTTTTGCTTCGCTGCTTCAGTCTCTGGGCGCCAGAGAAGTTTTGGTCCACAGCACATTTTGAGCCAGATGGTTACATTTTACATCATAAAACATATGCAACGGTGTCTCTTGCCAAGATCTTTTTTTTGTGATAATCTGAAAGCGTGTGTGCGATATCAGGTGTGCCGTACCTGCGCTGGGGGAGGACGGCTCACATACGCTGGAGGAATCACTGTAAGTGTTGGAAACCTGTTCAGAGAGCTTTTTCTTGGTGCTTCCTTCGGCTTTCTGATGTTTCTTTTTATTCTTCACCAGGATCTTCCCCAACAGCTCCATGGGGCTGGGAAGTGGGACTCCAGCGTCAAGCTGAAAGGAGCGGAGACGAAGATGGAGAGACAGAGAGATAACTGTGAAAACGGAGGAATGTGTTTCAGTTCAGAATGCCTAAAAATCGCAGTGAAAACCTGAAAACGTAAACAAAGTGCAAGAATCGCTTATGATGTCTTATTTGAGGTTGTTCAAAAATGTAAATTCATGTTAGTGAGAAGAAGAAAAAAAAGTTCTCTGGAGATCCTAAGAAGCTGTGCTGATCATTACAGATCAACACCTCAATCAGCGTCTTGGGAGGAAACTGAGCATTAAACCCAAACTCATAAGAGAGCGAGCCTGAAGTCGGCAGAGTTTTGAATTATTAATGGGATGCACTGCTTTAGGATCACTGTGTTTAGCCTTATCAATAATTCATTTCTTTAAAAAAAAGAAGTTTGCAGTAATGATGAGTACATGTACACATGCACAGCTGCAGTGTTAACAACTTATCAGTCATGAACATATTCTTGTTTCCTCTGTCTTTCTGAATGTTTACAAGAAAGGGGAGTTTAGTGATTCACGCAGCAGATTAAGACAAGATTTAACAGCCTAATAACCTACTTTCTACTCAAAACCTCTCTGCTGTTGTTGCAGGGAAATGATGCTAAACCGATTAGACATTCTGTTTGCATCGGCTTCAAATGGTTCTACTCACACCACTGGAAGATGCATTAAATCTTGACTCCAAGCAGAGGCAATAAAAACATACAAAAAAATATAACTTTATTGAAGTAAAGCTCAGCTGTAATCAGGTCAGCTTTCTCTGGAATCCCTAAACAGTTGTTTGTGCGCTTTACTGGACGGTTCTCTCCTATTGCCAGACACTTTTTGCTTTAAAACATCATAAGCTGCATCTCTTGAGCGACTGTTGCTTACTAGCTTTCACCTGTCACAACATGCCACAAATAATTGTTGCCACAGTCATGAAAAATGCTGTAATTACACTGTGTAGGATGAAATAAAATAAATATTTGGTTTTGGTTTTGCTGCTCTAGGTTACTGTTTTCCTGGCTGAAAAATTGGAATTAATACTTTCGCACAGGTTTGAACTTCTGCGGTTGCAGACTCTGCAAGTAACAATTTACATAAACCAATTAAAAAAGGGAATCTCACTGTACAGATTTGTTTGAAAATTGTAACACAAAGTGATATAAATTACAGAAAATGTAAAACCCAAATTCTTACTTTGGACAAATAAAGAAGGATTTTTAGGATGGAAATGGCAATCGAGTGAAATCATGGTTGGGTTTCCTTTTGCATGAATGACTGGATCATTGCAGTGTGGCGGTCAGGCTCTGGCTCTGCTGACGGGTTAAAGAAGCTCAGGTTGCTTTGATAGGAGCCTTAAGCTTGTCTGCATTGTTTGCATATCTTCCTCTCGAGAAAACCCCTTTCTTCGTGGGATTTAGTTCAGGAGAGTTTGTTGGCCAGTCAAGCATAGTGATACCATTCTCAACGAACCGGTTTATGGTACCTTTGGCAGTGTGGGCAGCTGGCAGGTCTTGCTCAAAAAATGAAATCAGTATTTTCATAAAGCTCATCAGCTTTTCCTGGTTGAACACCAGCAGATGACACGTCGCCACAAATCATCACCGACTGAGGAAACATTGCACTGGACCTTCAAGCAAAGTGAAATCTGGGCCCCTCTGCTCTTCTCCACTTAATTTGGACCTTGATTTCCAAATTAAGAGAAAAATTTATTGTAAAGAAGAACTTCGGACCACTCATCCAGAGTCTAATGCCGTCTCTAAGTGATTTAACACAGTGGATGCGACAGTCTGTGTTTGGTAACTCCTACAGCAGCGACTCCAGCAGCAGTCCATGCATCATGAATCCCCTTAAAGCTCTTGAATGGTATTTGATTTATGATTCTCCCAAGGATGTTATTATCTCTGAAGCTTCTGGACCATTTTTTTTTTACCCTACGTCAACATTCTATTGATGTACTCGGATACATCCTTAGCTGAACAACCAGCAAATCCCTTTTGAGGCTCACAATCTTAGTGGAGAGCGTCACAGACTGTCAGCAGAACAACTCTTAAGGCGCCATTCTTCCTGATTGTGAAGACTATATGACACATTTGTTCTGTATTTAAAGGCTTTTTAAAATTTGCCTTCTGTTGTATTCAGACTTTCTGAGAACCTGAATTTTGAATTTAAAATCTCTCTCTCTATGTAATGGCTCTATATAATAAACAGGTTACTTTCTGACCCGTATCACAAAAATAAAATTCAACTTTTAACAATAGTCGCTTATATTAATTTTTCACCTGGAGTTTAACCTTAATTTCATTTTTCTGACATAACCTTTATACTGAAAAACAAGTTCCATTTTAACTCTTATAACAAAACTAATGTCAGATTCTACCTTTATGTCGTTAGACTTTGTAGGGAAACAAATAATTCAATCAAAAGCCAGGTGATATACAATGTGACGAGTCAGACCAGTGGCAGTGATGGAGAGCTGACATTTCAGCTTGAAGCTGCGTCGTCTTCCTCTTCGGTGGGTGGAATATTGTTTTGCAGTCTTCTGTCTGCACTCGCTTCCACGTATTATCCTCAGTCCTGTCTGCTTTCTGCCTGAGTGCATCGCTGCTTGCCAATTCTGGTTTGTCAGCTGCTTCCACCAACAGGATTGAAAAGAACTTCAAGACAAACATTTCATTTCTAAAACAACGAGGTATATTTTTTGGTTATTGTGACGAAGATATCTGCACTTCACGACCTTCACGAGTATTGTAGCTAAAGTAATGAAGCACCATTGTTGTTTACTGAACAGATTGCTTATAGCTCCGGTGTAAAAAAACAACAAATAAATAAAACTAATAGACAGTGATGAATTTGTCGGAGTTCATTGAAAAGATGCAGAATTTCTTCTGAAAAGTGATTCAAATGTAAGTAATTTTCTCATGCGTATCTAAAAGCCTTTGTTATGTTAGATGCATCTACTAAAATACATTGTAAAATGAGATTGCTTGTTTTAAAAATATGCTAAATAATATATTTTGACATTGTGTCACATGTTCTTATCCAGAGTTTCAAAGGACTTGACAAGCTGCTGGGTAGCTTGCGCCACACTGAACATGGATAAGAGAAGGCAAAGCCGAGAGCTGTTTGAGCATGAAGCTGTTCTCCAAGTAGCTTCATGTTCGTGTGGCCTTAGCGGCTAATATAATTAAAATCTTTAAGATTCATGGAGCTATAGCCAATCTCCTAGAGTGGACCGAAGAGGAAATGCGACCCAGAATGATTACATGGATAGTGCGGATGATAGAAAAACCACACCACTAATGGCTCCATGGAGGAAGACCATGGAAATCTGACCCTAACAGGTTTCAACAACCCTCAGAAGAAAATGGATGGAAAATATAAATCTAAAGCAAAGTTTAATTTGTGTTAAATACTGAATAATCCACAAAGGATACAAATCAGCTTTAAGTTTTCAGCAGTACAGAGATAATTGTGCTTTTTTTTTCTCTCCTGCTTTTGTTCATCGTGGAAGGAAACCAACAAATTAGTCTGCATCCGTAAATGTCGTGAAAAAGATCTTTGCAAAGAGGAGATGAAGGAGGAACTTCAGTTCTACGAAATCTTAATCCTCTTTATCCTCACCCTTGGTTGAGCTGGAACCAATCTAGCTACATTACCCTATCTGACAGTGCGCCTACGGACTCAGAGCTCTTACTCTATTCGATATGCAGTATACATGGCTGCCTCATGCCAGAGGGGAGTGGTTGTCATTGCTCTCACCTTTCCCAGTTATTACAAGCTCAGTGGTAAAAAAATCTCATTCTTCAAAGGTACCTTCGCTCTCTGTTCCTCCGGCTCCGCCCTCGGTGTGCCTCTCGTTTTCTCCCTCCCCTTCACTTTCCCTCCTCTGCCACTCTATTCAAAAGGCTTCTCCCTGATAATACTTCAATGTCAAACCCTGTCAGAGGGCTGTAATTCTCAGATGGATGCGTCTTTGGCAGGCGGCAGGACTGGTGGAACTCCCTGCGTGTGTGAGATACTGCTGCCTCAGAGTGGTGGGAACTTTCGCTCCACCACGGTGTTATACCAACAGGGACAGCAATTTCCCCGCTGAAAAATGCGAAGGGGATAACTTCTGTGCTAAAGTGTGTGTGCTGCATGTGTGTGTGTGTGTTTTCAGGTTCGGAGAACGTGTGTGTGAGAGTTTGTACGACAAGTGTCTATATTTGCCTCGCGCGGGATGCCTGCGTCATCACACACACACAAAGACGTCTTTTGGGTGGAGGGGGTACTGGAGGGAGGGTTGAGCATTTGGCCACAAAGGGACAATGCAAGCTTTTCTCCTGTAGCCATGGCAACAGAGGAAAGGCTGATAAAGGGCTGCCAAGGAAAGCCATGTTGTGATTACAGCATAAAACACTTTCATTTAATCTTAAACGCCTGTCATTTCCAGTCTCAGTGATGGCACAGAGGTGATGCAGTCGAATTGGAGTGATTCTGCAATGAGTCATCTGAAGTTGGCGTCTGTGGCATGTAAACAGTCGCTGGTGTGTGTGTGAGCGAAAGAGACAGACGTTCTGGAGAGGCTATGAGAATTTGCAGTAATTTCTATATTTCTGCTTAAATAGATCGATCTACATGTAAACACCTGTTGCTTGAGTTCCTTTCACAATAATACTCATATTGCAAGCTCTCACCTTGATTACATGTAATACTTGGAATAACTGTTTATACTTATTTACATCTGTCACATTTCAACAACAAATATTAAAGGACTTTGCGGCGATTTTATTTATTATGCTAATGCAGAACAGCTCTTAATTATGAAGTGGAATTCAAGGAGATTGCATAAAAGGCTTCTGCGAACATTAATTTTCGATCTTTGCTGCAGATTCGCAATTAGATTTTATGTCTGAGCTTTGACTGGGCCATTGTTTTTATTTGTTATTGTATCATTTTTTAAATTTTCATTTGTACCTCTAAATGAAACTGGTCTTTTGCAACAAAATGTCCAGCAGGTACATCTGTGTGCGACTGTGGGGGTCAGAAACGTAATAGTTTGCTTTTGTTTATTTGCTGACTGGTATGTTTTTCATAAGCTAGAGGTAATCTGCATGGTTGAGTGAAACTTTGCTCTCATTTTATCTTGATCTAAAGTAATGTGTTAACGAAACCGAGTTGAAGGAGTTGAGAATCACTCTAGCAGGGATGCATTCAATCACCATTTCCATGTTTTCTTTCAGTTACTTTGAGTTGAAAACAGTCAGCTCTTACTTTTCACCTCAAAATGCCACCTTCTAAGAACCACATGCAGACACTCCTCTGGCTCCTGAGTGCACTCTTCCGTAGGTTAATACCTTCTGAACACTTCGCTGCATGCCATGTTTTATGTATCGGGGTGCGTGTTAAGAAGAAAAGGAGCTGCCGAAAGTGTGAATGTCAGAGTGAGAATGTGCACATGTTCGAGCATCCTGTGTACTCACAGGATATTTCTCCAGTGGTTCCATCAGTAATGCGTCTCCAAATATTGACCGGCAGTACTCTGCCATCTTCGCCTGCTGCTTTGGCCTGGGATTCATCCCACACACACACACACACACATGGAAACAAGCACAGAGAAACAATCATGATTTCTCTGCTAAATGTCAATACACTGAATATGTATGTTCCTTCCCTGACATCCTTTAGGAGATATTAAAGATAGAGCAACCAATCAAAACGTTCTCCTCATCCCGGTAACTGACAGCTGGCAAATGCTCTGCGCTCATCAAAAAGGTCAAAACTGGTAGGTGCCGACTCGAAGCAGATCGCCGACTTACGAGTCCACGTGGTTCTCGAAAGACAGGATGACAGGAAACGGCGAGGTCTTGAAGGCACACTCTGCAATCGCCTCGATCACTTCCTGAACACAAAAGAGGAAAAAAACAGCAATGTGTCAATTTACCCAGGTTTATATGTGACTTTATTTTAAAGCATTCTTGACAGTAAGATCAATACTGTAAAAGGGAATCAGTATCAATAAAATAATTTTAAATGCTGCACTGTTTTGATTTCCCGATCATTAATGCCTGTTTTATATGACTGATGAGGTTCTGTCACATTCAGAGGAACCAGGTCTGAAATCAGACTTCTGAACCACTGATCGTCTAAATCAATTACACCGTTGTTAACAACAGTGTCAGTTAAGCTAATGCCTTCATTTCCATTTGCACCACGTCTTTCAATAAAATCAGCAGCCTTCTTTATCTTTAGCTCTCCTCCATCTTTCTCGGCTCCCCTCTTTTTGCATTCCTCTTTAATTCCATTAGGCTCCTTCTCTTAGTCAAATTAGATTTGGATTTCCAGTATCAATCAATTCACCCATTTATTTATTTTTTCTTCCTCTTGACATCTACTCAATTCTTAAGAGTTTAAAGCTATATTTTTCCTCCTTTGAAGAATTGTTCCTTATTGTACTCTCCCCCTCTTAAGACCTTGATAAATTGCCCCCTGGCTCTTCTCTTTAGGACGATTCAGTGCATCTGTGTCTCATGCAATTTGCAGCATGCATGTCCCACTTTTTGTTTTTCTTCATTTTTTTATCCAACTCTGCCTTTCTTTGTCTACTCTTGACCCTTATAGTGTTTGTTTATGCTGTCAGTCTTTGAATACCAGCTGTATACGGCCAAATGGCAGAATAAACATTTCTTAAAAATAACATTAAGATATGGATTTACTGCATTTTCCCATTTAAAAGTGTTTTGGTCACATAGTTGGTATATTTGGAGTTGGGAGTATTTTACATTTTCAGATTCAGACAACTAGACTAAAACTAAGATTTCATGGATGTTGCCAAAAAAAAAGTGGCTTTACAAATAAGTGTTCAGAATTTACACTTCCACAAATCACAAAATGTGTTTTATTACTGCGTATTATTTCTAACAGAACGTATTTACTTAAATCTATATTTAAAGATATTCAAATAATACAACTAGACATCACAAAAATGTTTACAGATTCTTAAAATGTACAGAACTGTGAAAACGTATTTACTGTGTTAGAGATTTAATCAGATTTTTTTGTTGCACCTAAAAGATTCACATTATCAAATTATTTTTACTATCGGATGAAGTTAACTTGAGTAAATACAAAAAGACTTTTGAGGTGGCCTAGTTAAAGTGGCTAAAGATTAAAAACGTGTATTTGTTTAGGGAGGTGGGTCAATAACATTTTTAATAAATGAACACTGGATTTAATAGTTTTTTTTTATGAATAAATTCAACTGTCATTTTAAAACTGCCTTTATATTTCCAGTAATCCTCTATTCACACAAACTGTGCAGCGCCGCTCTCGCAGCAGGAGTAGTGCTTGAGGTGGAAAGAAAGAAATGCACGGACAAATTGTGTTCGAGTTTGGTACTTGTTGCTTGGAGACCAGAGGAAGTGGTGTGTTTTTAAGACTGCGGATTGATGCCGCATATATCTGTCAGATGGTCAAAGAAAAGCCTTGAGATTGCATTTACAGATGATGATGATGAGGAGGAGGAAGAGCAGCCTGCTGCCAGAAGGAAAGCAGGTTCATAAAATGTTCTGATTTAACAGAGTTTAGTGTCATTCAGAAGGGTCGTTGACACAAACGCTTCATTTTTCAGAATAAAGTAAAAAGGGATTTGAAAGCTGCAGAGCCTTGAACTGATCAGCTGATAGTGACCAGTCAGCAAACTGATATTTATTTACTCTGTCCACAGCTTACTTTCAGTCCACTTTCTCAGAAAGTCAAGTCAGTTCCTATAAAAGTTAATATTAATTTAATTAATAATGCAGGATTGTTTTGTTTAAAGAAATAACACTAAATAACAGGACCTGAACATACTGATCCTAACATGATGGAAAAACTGATGAGGTACAGCAGTAAGGATGAAGTTTGGACTATTTTACTTTTAGTTCAGTTGATTTTGATGTTTTTCTTATCACTCTGTGTGTGTACTTTCTCTGTGCACTTTGTAACATATGATTGTGAAATAGACATAAAACTCACCAATGGTATATCAGTAGTGGATGTCATAAAGAAGAGTCATTGTACAAATTTAAAAAGGTGTTTTCTTTGCTCTTCAGTTCATAATAATTAATCATTAAAAGACTGTGCATGCAAGCATGAAATAAGTAATTATTAGGGCCTCAAGCAGTGCTTAGAAACATACATGAGTCTGTAGTGAAAAGCACAGCAGGGGGGCTTCAGACTCAAAAGAACATGAATCATACAACTTCTTAGGAGGCACATTAGTGCAGAAGGCAAAGTTTGCTTGAACTTCTGTGAAGGCAGCATTAATAAGGAATGATAAAATGGGCTGCCTATGTTGCTGTTGCCCTTTTCTAGCAAAGCTCATTTAATGCTTTTCAGCACAAAACACAAAAAGCAAATGTTTTTCACAGCCGAGAACACAGTTTGATTTAAAAAAAAAAAAAAAAAGAAATTCACATTATGAATATGTTTCACAAAGCAACTCGGAATCAGACCAGTCCAACTCAACACATTTGTAGTCCTATAGCAAATATAAAATTGGACACAACTTGTATTTTCAAATCTCAATAATTGATCTGAATGGCATTGCAATAATTGATAATGCAGCACAGTAGTGCCCTGAAGTACAAGCTGAGGATGGAGGAGCTCTAAAAGGTTTCTCCATGTTAAAATGACACCATGATAAAAAAAAGTTTAACTCGTTTTTTATATATTTTTTTCAAATATCATAAGAATATTTTTCCTGTATAGATCAACAGAAAACAAATTTGTTGGATGGAAAATACTACAATAACTAAGTTACACTGATTTAACCTTAAAGCAAATTTTGGGGCTTCATAACACCAGCCATCAGTTATAGTCAATTTGACAAACAAGAAAGTCAGTATAGGATTTTGACCAGTTCTCATTAGATAAAGCTATTGTTTAAGCACAGAAACAATCTCACTGGATAAAGGTATGAGACAGGATAAGGGTGCAAAAATCCATAATGATATACAGTGGTGGATGCCAGCCTTTTTGTGGTTGCCACCAAAAAAAGGTCACAATCTAATGTTTCATTGGACGATCACCGAATTTCCCTTACAGCAATCATTGGATTGGTTGGGGTAAAATAAATTGGTAACGATGCTTGTTCCTATTTTCTTAGTTAAATCCAGGTGGTGACTCTGATTCCAGGTATTGTCAACTTAAACACAGAGTATCTTCTAGTAAAAAAGCGTTTAGGTAACCCAAACTGCACTGACGGGAACACATTTCAAAATCATCTTCTGCTCCTACCCCTGCATTAAAGGTTCCAGCTTTTTTTTGTTTTTTGTCCGTACCTTAAAAGAGATTTCAGTTGTCATTGTAAACCCATGAGTGATGACAGGCTCTTCCTCTGTGGTGCGTCCTTTCCAGCAATCCAGTTCAATACAGCGGCACCCAGACAGGAGGACCTGTTTGTACATCTCAACCGAGGAGTTTCCTGCGAGTTGGCCCGCTGCACAACACACACAAACACACACGAACACACACACTGGCTCATTAATCCTTTCAGTTCCTGGCAAGCAGTAAAAAACAGGGGGGAAAAAAAAAAAACAGTAGAAGTGTCTAATGCAGGCAAATCTCTTTAACATGTCGCCATTAGTGAAGCAATTATCACTTTGCATTAGCGGTTTGCTTTCCTGCAACATTAAAAGCAGCTATGTGAAAGCGAGAGGCTCTCACTTCGTTATGCTGATCTTTTCAGAAGCTTTTTTTTCCTCAATTGCTTTTTTTTTTGTTTTTTTTTTCTTTTTAGTTAATATCCTTTTAAAACCAGCAAGGGAGGTTTACCAAAACGTTATTGCGTTAGTCACTGTCAAACACATGATTAAGATGCCTCTGCAGCAGTGACACAAACCTGCCCTTTAAAGGTGCACCTCCATGCTCCCCACTTAAAAACGGCAAAACTTGTTTCGCTTTGAAAAGAAGTAAAGGAAGCTGTGTTCATGAGAAGAAAGCCAAACAGCCCCTGTTTGTTTTTCTCATTTCTCTATTTTGCAGCCTATGGGGTTGGGGCATTACAGCAATTCCATTTTTTTTTTCCACTGCTCGAGAGGTCTGATTCACTTGAAAGATTCAATGCACTTCGGTTTCCTCTCAGAATAGATTTGAATAGATGAATTCTAATATCCATTGAGGAGAAAATGGTGCCCCCCGTATTACAAACGCCTCCTGTGGCACGCTGCCAAGAAGCAGCTACTGTGACTACCAGTCGGCAGAAATATTTAACTCACGAATGACAATGAAAGGAGTCTCGGGCTATGACTTGATTGGATAACCTCTTGAGTGGTAACGCGGGGAAGGAAGGCTCTAGCTGCACCACCAGATTTGATTGACTGACCTGCGAGGTATAAAGCTGAACGTTCTCGCTCGCGGCACTTTAATTTTGCTTCTCAATGCATGACTGATCCGCTCATTTGTGGAGAAGAATAAAGGATGCACCTGCTGCAATTAGGCCGTCTTGCTTTCTGACTTGCGTCTCCGCGCACGTACCTGTGAGGTATGTGTTGTGTGAGGAGTTGATGAAATAGTGAGAGAGTGGAAAGGTCATGTCTTCACTCTGGTCCAGCTTCTCTGGGGGAATGATGCTGTTCTCTTCCCCGTTCAGATACCGGGCAAAGCCATCCATCGAGATCTGACCTGCATGAGAACAATACATTGGAAGTAGTCAGGGTGATGCATTTCATTCATTTTCTCTCTTTCGTCTAAATAACGTCATAGATCCCAGAGTACAAACTGTATACGTAAAATTTTAGAAAGTGATTTAGATTATAATATATTTAATGAATTTGCAAAGGAATTTACACTCTTTGAATTTTTATAAATTTGTCCCATAACCACCACAAACTGCACATGACGTAATCCAGGCCAAGTGGACTAAATCTACAGTGAGACATGAAAATGGTTGTACGAAGCACTGACACGCAAAGGGAGATTGGAAATCTCGTCACTCTGACAACCAAATTTAATTAGCTTTTTAATTCTCAATTGTCGCAAAAAATGTTGCAATAAAAACATTTTAAAAAGAAGAAAATCAAGTAGTATGAGTGATTTGGCAAGGAAATGCATCTATTCTTAGACAAGTTACCCAAAACGCCCAACTCATGCATTTTACTTCAACTTCTTTGGACTTTGAGCGGGCATTATTCTTAATTAGGAGAACATTCACCTGTTCAAATGTGTGAAATGGCCTATTTTTCTAGCCGTAGATCAGAGCACAAATGTATCTTTCTGTATTTCAAGCTCCACTGACTTAAACAAACATTATTACAGGTTGTAGGTAACACAAGGATCTGCCACAGAGAAACTCCCCCCCGACTCTGCTCTTTCATTGCTTTGAGTCACTGTCGACGACGTGATTCTTCATTGAGCTGAAGGAAGCACATAAAAGCGAATCTGAGATTAAGTGCAAACCAGCTGTTGTCATCCACTGGAAAGACGGTGATCTGCAGCTACATGACCACAAACTCCACACACAGAACCTGCACTGATTCAATGCCAAATTCAAAGCGACCGCTACGGCTAACATGCCTACTCCACCTACACACTCGCTCTCCCATAACGTTATTCCAACTATGCTAAGTAATGCGAGTTTGATGGGTGCAGCAGGTCCCTCTGGCCACTTTATGCTAATTAATGCGGTACCGCCCTCTGCAGAGTTGCTGAGCTAATTAACGCTGGCTGCTGTGCGTGACATCTAAGCTCGGTTGCACTGGGTGTCTCACTCCTCTGTCGACTGCAGGGATGTCTCTGTGCATGACTAAGGTCTGACCTGCGTCACACCGACAGTCCCAGTCAAAGGGTTTCTTCAGCTCTCAGGACATTTGTAGACCACAGGGTGGAAAAATATGTTAACATAGCTGGGACCACGTCTGTAGTAGAGTGAGACTCTACTGGGGTTACAGCAAAGGTGAGACTTAAAGGTGAAACTACACCTGGGTGGACAGGGATACTGCTATTAGACTGAAATAATGACTTGAAAGACTCATCTTTCAACATCTGAAAATGTGACAACGGGCCAGCGATGCTCTGTGAATGGATAATACTTTAAGAGTCTCCTCACATTATATTCAGCATTCTGATCGTAGCGTTAAAGTCAGCATAAACTGAAGAAGTACAAAATAATGAGAGGACTGAAAAGCTGAATGAAGGATACAAAATTCAAACGCATATTCATTAGTTTTAGATCATCTGCAATGAGCATACACATCTTTATACAATATCTTGCAAACATAGTCATCCCAGGATAATGGCAGTACAAATAAAGTGGTGAAAAGTGGAGGGCGTGTCCTTTGACCAGGGAAAACACCAGACAGCACAGTGATAAATCTGTAAAAATGCTTAAATGGGGTTAAGTTATAAAACAATATCCAAGCTTCGAATATGAGAACTGTTCGCTCCGTTCCCTAAAAATGGGAAGCAGCTGCAAATTTCCACATCTCAGTTGGGGAAGAGCAGTTTTGGTCAAAATGAGATCAAAACTGAATTTTTTACCTACATAGGAAATGTTCATATTAGCTAGTGCTTTTTGTCAGCTGTGACAGTGAAACTGGTCAGAGTTGATGGGAAGGTGGATGGAGGTAAATATGGATGGAGACTAAAATGACTTCATCTTCTGTAAACCAGATCACTTGGGTATGATTGTTTTGTTTTTTCTGTACTGCTTAAGTAATTCGATATTTTGTGTTTTATATGTTATCAACATCTTTTGTCCAACAGTTTAAACTCATTTCCTGGTCTGTTACTTTACTTAAAGCTAAATTCTGCTCCAGTAGTCGAACCTAGTTGAACCGTACTGGATATTAGCATGTCACTACCAAACTTAGGTATTACTCTTTCAACTGGACAACGACTCTAAACATTTAGTCAAAGCTACAAAGGAACACTTTAGATGAAAACACATTCATGTGTTGAAGTCCAGACCTAAATCAGAGTTGAGAATATTTGGTGTTGGCCTGCATTTATGACTAAGCTTTAGCCTGTTTGCTAAGTCTCTAGACGGCAAACATATTAGAGATGTATCCCAAAAATTTTAAGATTTGATTGCAGGTTCAAGAAAGTATTAACTCAGGGACTGAACACATGTGCATGCTGCACTTTTTGTTTGTTAAATGAAATATAGAAAGTCACGCATAATTTCCTTTCCACTTCTTAATAAACACTACTTTATGTTGGCGTTTTAAATAAAACCCATGTAAAATGTATTGCAATTTATAGTTAAAACATGCAAAATTTGAAAGAGCCGACAAGTTGTGAACACTTTAACAAGCCACTATATTAGCTTTAAATCCTAATGCTTATGACACTCACACACACACACGCATATATATATATATCTCACTGAATAAACAGCTTTAAAAATGCAAATGTCCTTAAGAGCGATAAAACCATGTGGACGAGCCCATGAAAGTGAATGTGAAGGTAACATGTGGAGTTCTGGACGCGTCTGCAGAGCAGATGGCAGCACTTCCTCCGGCTAGATAAATACTTCACAAGGGGAAATCTGTCACGAGGAAGGGGAAGGGCATGCTTCCAGAGAGCCCAGGACAGGATGAGCACACAGCCGCAATCAGAGTCGCTAGCTGGGCAATGAAGCTACAAATTCAAGTATAGTTAAAAAAA